AAAATTAGTAGTCGATGGTGGCATACCTTACGAAAGGAAACTGAGGTACTAAAGACACTATTTGATATTGTAAATAGTTTTTCAACATTTTAAAGTGACTTATACTTCGAACAAAAATATTAAAACGTATTTTAAAGCTAGTAAAACAAAAATTTTAGCCATAATTATAAGGTAAAATATTAGTTTACTAAATATTTACACTTATTAACACCCACTTCTTCTTAGTTACCTCCTAAATGCCTTCAGGTCTAACCAGGAATTTAAATAGAAAAAATAAATTTTACAAAATGCGAATTTGCTTTTGGTTCTTGGTTATTTTTTTGCATAACTCGTCTACTGCTGTTTGCTTTTTCTAGACCAGAACAGAAACAGAAGCCCAAACACATGAAGGGGGAAAAGTTATGAGCGATGGGCAGGTTGAAAAAATGCAACACGTAGCATTTGAATAAAATGTGCAAGGGAAATACGAGTGGGATGGGGGGGTTCTGTGATAAGCGGCAGAGAGAGGAAGTCAGGGAGATAGCGACTGAAAAAAAATATAGAACAAAGTTTGATTTATGATTTCGATTCGGAGATTTGTAGATGCGCCGCACAAGCCGAAATCGAAATCAGTCGCACACACAAAATACGAGCTCAGATTGTGATAGAAAATACTGTCGGAAAATGTTCTTTAACAAAGTGATTCAATTTAGGCAACAATTTTATGTATTTAGCAAGGTATATTTAAAATACGTAGACTTCAGAATCTATTAAACTTTTCCACTGATTTTTAAAAAACCAAGTTCGCTACAACCACTAAAAAAAGTGCACTCTAATAAAGATAATAAAAAAAGACCAGCAGCAGAGTAGCGTAATAGGAAAAAAAAAACACAACCAAGATGAAATTGCATTATGTCGATTTTGTGGATTTTCCTATGCAAAGAGAAGAAAATTCAGGCGAAAAAAAAATGACGAAAAAAAAGGGGGAAAAGGAGGAAGCTCAACTGGCTGCAAGTGGCTCAAAAAATGCCTCAAGATGTGGCAACACTGGTCCCGACCAGAAGTTACTTTGCATCCTTTAAGCACAGGTCCTTGGACGGGACACAGAGATGAACAAAAAATACAAAAAAAAAAACCCGAAGCCAGCGGAATAATGGAAAATAAGGGGATAAAGAAGTTTTCATTGGTTTCGGCTGCAGGCTGATGAAGCTGAAGCAGCTCCAGGTATCCTTCATCCTTTTCAGCCGGGCTCATAAAAATCATTCATTTGCAAAAAGCCAAATCGCAAAACGGGCAGCGAAGAGCTAAAACGAACTGATAAGGCATTTTTATGAGTTTATATTTTCTTCTTAGCTATCTTCAGTATTATTAAATTTTTTTTTTAATTAGAAGATAGTCTGGAAAACCAGAAAAATATCATCCGTAGCTTGGACTATTTTCACATAAATATGTATGTCCAAAGATCTGTATAATTTCCATTTCAGTTTTATTGATTTTCAAAATAGTTTATTTTCCCTGGTTTATGGCTTTTTGATCTGTTGCCCAATAAAAATGCTATAATTATGTCGAACAAGTCTTTTGAAGTTGATGAATTGTGTCAGAAGATTATAGAATTTTTTACTACCGCACCTCTGACATGGCTCTAATCTAAAAGGAAGTAATTATTAATTGAAACTGTACAAGATTAAGTAGAATTTCATTCGATTCAAAGTTTTGATGGCTGCAGTTTGTAAAGTAAGAAATCTTGACTAAATCCCAGGATTAAGCTGAAAACATCTTAACCTTAACCAGAATATTTGCTGTTGAATTTGCCAAGGCTAACCTTGCCTACCCCCCCACTCTCCACAACACACACACACACAAGCCAAGAAACCACAAATTTCACCCCACGGAAATTATCTGCCTTAAATTTGTGTATTGTCTAGGCACACGACACGACTGAAGCCAAGGCAGAGACTGCTGGGCGTGTTTTTAATTGCCAAGGACAATTAAAAACAATTTTGCAGGCACAAAAGAGTTGGCAATAAATTTAATTGGCCTGCTGCCGTTACGCCCATTGATTATTTTCGGTGTGGGCGGGGCAGCGAGCACTTTCGCACCTAGTGACAAGGTGTCTAGCGAGGAATTGTTCTTGGAATCGGAACTGGCGATGTGGGGTGCCTTTTCTGTTTGGCTGGCGAAGGGTGCTGGTTTTTGGTCGGAATGGGGCGGCAATTTATGCGGCTGTCAGTTGCAGGGGCAACTTGGATTTTTATTGGCACCCGGCACGCAGCCAGAACTCGTTCAGCTTCCTCTCAAGTAATTGCATCGAGCACATAAATCAATTGAATTGCATTTTCATGCGACAAGTTTGGCCAACCCCCGATTGTCTGCGAGTGAAGTGAAAGCCAAAGTAGTTTTTCACGCTGCCCTTGGCTGTCTCTCATCTTTTTAGCTGCCCCCTCGACCGTGGCATAATCAATTGAAATTGCATGCAACGCGTCACTGCCAGAACTAACCCCAACAGTGTTGAGTTCCCAATCCAATTCAAAGTCCAAGTCCAACTCCAAGTCACAGCTTAATCCCCCCACAAAAAGAGTACGACTATTTTCCCCGTTTTCAGCGCACGTACACAGATTATCGGCGACTTCGTTTATGGCTTATCAAATTAAATGATTAATGTTTCCCCATGTTTCCTCCATACTGCGCTCCTCTCGTTCCTGGAAAATGTCACCAACAACAGCTTTTCATTTTCAGCACTTTTCGTATTTTATTTTCTTTCTCAGAGAGTTCAAATGGTTTTCGTGTTGCGGTTGTCGGTTTGGTTTAAGTTTCGTTCAACATTTTATTGCGAAACTTTTGTTTGCGGCGACCTTTATGCCTAGCTGATTTGTGGCTGAGCAAATTGTTTTCAAGCATTTAGTGTCAATAAGACAGGGAATTAAAACAAACCGTAGGTGTCGTTTTGATGGCTGGTTTAACAACTATTGAACTTTAAGTTGGCTTAAAAAGTTCTAGAGTTTTGTGGAGGGTAAATAAACATAGAGAGTCCTTCTTTGGCAGTTAAGCTTATGGTTTTATGAAAGTTTATTTGTAGGTTTAAATTTTCTATTAGTTTTTTACTTCTTTGGTATACAAGTAAGCTTGCAATTCCCTGTTCCCTTTAATGACACAAAAATCTTGCATTCACTTGCGTTTTCCCGAACCCAAAACTCTGGAAATTCCATCTGCAAAGTCCCCATCATCCGCAGAGCCCCATACATCGCATTAATCAGTTAGGGCAGTGGGACAGACAGACAAATACGCACTCGAAAGTATAACTCATCAGGGCGCAAATTACAAAGACAAACGATGACTGACAACCGCAAGGCTTTTTTGGCTCACGAGCTGGGCGGAAGGGCGAGCTGGGTGGAAAGTTGGGGGTCACCACTTAGCACCCGCAATCCATGGAGAAAGAGGACCAGGACGGCAGGAGGGCAGGAGGGCAGGAGCGTTTTTGTTAATTAAACAAATGCCGCAGTGACATGTGCACATCACGAGAGATGTGATGACTTTGCCGGGGTTTTTGGTTTGGGCCGCTGCTGCGGTTTATGCATCTGCATTCGTGACCGGGGCCTGGGCGTTGGGTGGCGGACACACATATCTGTGGATGTACAGATAGGGTATGTGGGGTATTCGGGCTCTTTTGGGTGGTTGGGTGGCGCACTGACAATTCCAGTTGACAAAAGCAGACACAAATAACGGGGGAAAGCAGGCAACGTCGCTGACAATGGCTCCGCATGCAATTTAATTTATTTCAATTGCAACGGAATTATTACGACAGACGACAAAGTGCCGTCGCAGAGCAATTTGCTGGGCACTCCGGCAGCATCGTTGCCCGCGTCCCGTCCTGACCCACCATCTTTATCGCTTTTTTAGGGAATTGTTAATAAACAAATTCAAGCGCGAAGAAAGTTAGCGCAGCGAGCGTCGATTTCAATTAAACAGACGCGTGGCTCCCGTTGCCCACTCGAGCTGATAATGACCACAGTGGCGTGGCAAGAGGGTTTGTACATATAGCGGCTTCCGGGTGGGGGTTCCGACGGGGCCAGAAACTTACCCACCACAGCGGTCAGGAAGTTGAAGAAGTTTATTTCCTTTGGGGATGCTGCGATGCACGCACAATGGTTAAAATGCAGCAAAAATGTCACAAAAAGAGAAGTTTGTTGCTGGTAATATGTGTGCTTTTAGTGGATTGTTAAAGGGGATTACAGAAATTTTAAATATAAAGACTTTAAGAGGGGATTGTTACCCTGTTATTGTTTGTTAAATTAAAAATCCCCAATCAATGAAATGCTTAGGTTATCAGAAAGCTAATTTTGTAAAAGATTTTTAGGGATATCCCTAATACCTCCTTTCAGTCCGATCTTTGCCACTGTGGCCAATTGCCAAGTCTCTGTTCAAGACACCCAATTCCCGGTGGCAATTCTCAGCTGCAATTTCGCAATGTTAACCCATCGTGGGTGGCATGGGGCATTCAATTTCGCCACTGTTGATTTCCTCGGCTTCTTGTTGCTGTTGCTGTGTTTCGTTGTGGCAACAAAACACTTTTATTTTTGCTGTTGTTATTGCTCGGCTTGCCCAGTTTCAAGTGTAAATTAATTTATGAGGCACGCCATGGAGCCGGCGCCAGGCTGCGGTCACAGACAGCCCCCCAAAACCCAACATGGCAGGGGAAATGTCAGTCAGAGTGTGAAATTTCATATTTGAATACGCGCCAAAACGTTGACAAATGAAGTCTGCATAATTGGCTAACATTTGGTCATGGATATGGAGAGCTTTTGTGAATATGAATACAGGCAGGAAAAAATAAAGATAAAATTGATACTAAAGAATATAAAAAGGAAACTTATAAGACAAGGACTCTTAATAGGTTCTAATATTATGTTCAAGTTTAGTTAAAATTTTCAATAAATTTATTATTCATCTCCGATACATATTTCCCAAGTTTTTCTTATAGTGCACTGGAAAACCCCCATTCAATTTAAGCTGATTTAACTCACCTTTCAGTGTGCCGATGAAAAACAGAGCGGCCAGCAAATTGAGATGGCCAAACATGTTGATTGCTGGTTTCTGTTTCGGTTTTATTTCAACGTTTTGCTCCTGCTCCCCTTCGGGTATCTGCAATGGAAGAATGGTGTGAGCATAAAAATAAATATTTAAATAATTATTTATTATATTAGACACGCCGGGTGAGTCACTCGCTAGGCGACAGGACAGACGGCAGCAAATTGTTTGCTTGTTTGGCCGACCATAATAGAGATATTTTCGGGAAGAGAGGGCGTGGGGGCCCAACCCTGAAAATGAGACCCTGAAAACAATAACGGAAGAGCGCCAGCTGTCACCTGTGATCTGTTACCTGTTACCGGTAACCTGTTACCCGGTCGCCAGTCAGCCAGTCCGTCACCAGTCCCCGGCTTGCTGTCATCATTCAAATGTCATTTCCCGAAAAGGGGGGAGCCACAAATTGCTGTTTGACACGGCACCTGACGCTAATCAAAACTACACATGCACTTTTTGGGGAAAAACCCCCTTCGTGCCCCGCCCTCCAGGCAATTAAGCCCGGTTTTGTGTTTTGGGCCTGCTAAATTTTCATTACTGTGGCCCATTGTCCAAAAAGAGGATTTGAATTCGATTGGGAAGCCTGGGCAAGCCACCTCGCCCCCATTTCCCCCATCAATTCGAAAATCGTTCAATGATTGTCATCGTAGGTGTGACTAATTGTTGGTCATTTATCTTCTCTGCTTTCTTCTCGGATTGAATTTTTTGTTGTAGTATTGCTGTTGTTTGGTTCAATGTGTCCCCTGGCCTCTTTGTTTTTCGGTTTTCCATAGAAGTCATGAATAATTTCCGTTCTAAATGGAAAGGTTGGGCTCTGTGTCCGCATCTAGCCCTCTCCTTCGGTGTCTCTAATTGATAGATAATTGAGGGCCTCCGAGGGGCAAGGGGCCGGTGGATTGATCAATTGGCTGGAGATGAGGCAGCAGATGATGAATGAATGCGCCTGATTGAGTGAGGGATAAGACGGGACTCAAAACTGATAATGAATGGAAATTCCTTGCCTTTTTGCGACGAATGATGTCATCCGTAAAATTCTGGGTAAAAGTGAAAGCAAGAGAAGATATCTTTCGAGTTTTGATTAAAAAAATGTTTCTTCTTTTGGGGGAGATTGTATAACATGGATTTGAAGTTAACCGTTTGTATTTTTTTCTTAAAAAAGTATGTATAATTTATAATAACCCACCCCCAAATTACTATAAATTTTAAAATTAAGTCTTTCAACTCATAAAATACATATTCTATTTAAACACTTTAGTTTCTAAATTATTTAAATAATTTCCAATTAAGATTTGCTGATCCATGCTGGTGACAATCCTTTCAAATTGCAATTCTGATAGAAATTTTCATTCAAAAAATATTCTTTATTAAATTCATGTTATTAAAATTAAAAAATTCCACATCCAACAATGACTTCAAATTAGAAATTGTGACGTGCAATTACCAACCGGCTTCGCCGACATAAAGCTATATGTATTTATTTTCCACATTTAGGTCACTCAAAACATTTTGATTGACAAATGCAAAAGACATTTATGGTGCGGATGGAAGAGAATCAAATAAATTAGTGCCTCGAATGACTGTCAGAAACTGTTCGCATGCAATCTGCGCTCAAAGGCAGATGTAAACTTGGGCAATTCAACGAAACGAAGCTAAACTGAGGCTAAACTAAACTCAAACTGCGATTGCGACTATCCCGACTATAATGTGACTTGCACATCCGTGTATCTGGGGTCCTTGTAGCTGTTCGTTCGCTTTGTATCTGTTCGCTGGCACCGTAAACAAGTCAACAAGGACTACGGACTCCGGACTCGGGACTCAGTGCCGACTGCCATGGGCAACACACCCACTTCCCGCATTCCACTTGCCTTTATTGAGTTTCCCCCTCCCCCTTGCGACAGGTGCACAAAACGGGGCCCTAACTTCGTCACACACGTCTCATTTTCCCCTCGCCTTTCGTTTCTCCTCCTTTTATTTTTTCCTTGTTGGCAAACTAATTTCAAAGCAAATGCGATACAGTCACAAGTGACTGAGACGAGGACTCCCCAGCCGGTTGTTGGGTTTCCTCCGGTGGTTCAGGTTCCCGGGTTTTCTCCTCAAACTCAAATATTGGTAGCAAGTTCGGTACTGGGTGTGTGTTTTTTGAATATTTCATTATTTTGTATTGCCTAAATATGTTTGTATTATTTAACAATGTATTTTTTATTATTTGTTATTTTAAATTAAATAAAACACAACAGTCTAGAGAAAATATATAATTATTTAACTTGTTTCCTGTTGCATTTTCACTAATATTTTACCTTTTCTTTCCTCTCAGTGCATTCAAAAAAATCTCCTATCTAAAACTGAAAGCTATCTTACCTCACAGCCACTCGCGTGCTTTTTTTCGGCAGCTTCATTTGCATAATTCTGTCGTTAACTGGCGGAAAAGTGTAATCAAATGAACGAGTAGATAGTAGAGCCCAGGGGATCTTCGCTTTTTCGTCCTTATTTTAAAAAATCCCGCCGCACACTTCAGTAATTAGAATTTACAATTTCAAAATTGGGATTTAATTGAAATTTTCGCACAAAGGGAATATCAAATCCGAATATGTACCTTCCATTTTTGGACAAATGGTCATTATGGTCAAATGTCAGTGGAAAACAAAGCGAAAAGCCCCACAAGTGTGGAGTACTAATAAGAGAATGATATTCGAAAAACTTTTACTTTTTCCATTGTGGTTCAGTGGGTTTTTGTTTCCTCTATGACCCTCCCTCCCCTCACCAGCTGAAATGTGTGAAAATTCGATAGAAAATGAAATGTTGCCAAGGTCTCCCTCGTACTCCGTCTTGTTCCTTCTTTACCCCTCGGCTATGGAAAATTGAAAAGTTATCAATTACAGCTCCTTTTTGAGTGATTGACTTTCCCTCCACGCTGCCTTTTCTCATTTCAAATGAAAGTCTAGCATATGCCAAAAAATGTTTTGTTCTTTCGCCCCCCCCTCGACAGCCCACAGTTTCCCTCCATTCTCCTCCATCCTACCATTTCCCGAGCTTCCTCAGCTCAGGTTACATTTTCATGGCCCGAAGCGTATTGAGGTAATTGAATTTTGGTTTTTGGCCAAGCTGATGAGTGTGTGGGGGTTTTGAATAACTGAGGTCGCAAAAATGTTCAAATTACCAAACGTAAAAATGCGAAGATATTCAGATATTAAATTTAGTAATTTAAGCAATTAAGGTTAAAAAATCAAGAGCCTTTACAAGGTTATTAAGGGGGGAAAGTTTATAGTTTAAAATGTAAAGAACAGTCAAAAAATACGTATATTATCAAAGGAATTTAATATTGACAACAAAAATTTATTTTTTAATTTCTATTCTAATTTTCTTTGCCTTTTAAATTCATTAATATTTATTGCACGATTAAAAAATAACAAATAACAATGTGGTAAACCCCAAATAAATAAGTACGAATTTTGTATATCAAAACCAATTTGTAATTGCCTAATTAGCAAATAAACTAGCTTCTGCATTTAAATAAAATTCCCACCCATATTACACTCATAGAAATGACCACAAATCACTTTCCATTTATTAAGCCACATCCCGGGAGCCCAGCATCAAATAAATATGAAAATTAACCCATAACAGCCACCACTTAATTCGATTCACCCACTGAACCACTGAACTACTTGACTTGATTGAAGGCAGATCAAATTGCCCAAATAAAAATTCGTAGGCCGCCAGAAAAATTACGATGATGGGAATTAATTAATAAGTCCCTTGCAATAAATAACAAAAGATATATATAAATAGATGAGATAGATTTGGGAATTCCATTGCAAGACAAAATAAAGAGGAATGTGTTTTTTTTAGAATTTATTGCGTTCGTGTGGGAGGGCCACTTGCCGCGTTGCCAAATCGATTTCAAAACTTCATAAACAATGCCCGAGGAGAATCCCCCTTCGGGTCCGCATTTGAGAAATCTCCGCTCGGCCAATAAACTGGGAACAACAAAAACAATACCAACCAAACAGCAGCAAAGTGATTCGAAATTTATAAACAACAAAACGAAGCAGTTTGGGCGCTTTAATTTGTTTATTTTGTGCTAAAGAGCAACACGCATCGAGTGCCATAAAAAATCAACAGGCAGCAGGCCAGAGGGTCTGGCTTTATATTGTATTGTATATATATCGCATAAAAGGGGGAGTCGCTGGGGCAAACTTTCAAAATTTATAAACTGTGCAAACTCTGGCCGAGAAGCGGCCATAAAAAAGGCAAACTGAGACGGAATATTTATGCAAACGTCAATTGGTCTGCAATTGAATTGAGCCACGAGGCATGGCGCATGAGGAATGAAACATGAGGCATGAGGCACGTACTTTCAGATGCCCCACCAAAAAGAGCGATCTTTGTAGGATACCCTTTGATTTGAAAGGGTTCTTTGAATCAAATATTACAAGATGCTAAAGAATATTAAAGTTAAAATATTTGTCTTTAAGTTTTTAATAGTAAAATAAATGCTTGTAAATAAGGATTACAATCTAGCATTTAAGTAATCTTTGTCAATAAATTTCTTATCAGTGTTTTAAAGTCTCATTTATTTTTTAACCACAACTAAATTTATATAAACACAGGAAGTCTTGGCAATTTAAACAAATAAAACCTATTTTTCACCTTTGGAGTTTACAATACTTTTGATATATTCATCCGCTTGGATAACCAAACAAATAGGAAAATGTAATTACATTTCAAACAAAGATACAATTTAGGTCACAGTGTTAATTGTTAAATAGTAAATGAATAAAAGGAAGCCCCACGAAAATGTCAGCACATTACATTCTTCCTATGACCCAATACGGATGTGTTTCAAAATAAAATATTTCAGGTTTAAAGGTTTTTTATGTCATTTAAAAATTAAGCAAATACAGAAAGCTGTATTTTAATGAATTGTTAATATTTAGTTTTGTTTGAACACTTAATATTTCTACCTTGAAGTGCTAGATAATAGCTTAATTTACTTAAAACTCTTCTAAAAAGACCCAATTTTCCATTGCTACCAAATTTCCAAAAACCCTCTCCCTCAA